AAAATGTTAGAATACACTGATTTTTTTCCTTAGCTATGGAAAACGACATAACTGCGGTTTAGCCTTTTGTTATTAAATACAGTTTATTTTTTCAATCTTTTTAAAAGGCATTGACAAAACACTTAACTGTTTAAATTAGCAATGTTTGCTGCCAAGCATGTGCTGCTGCTTTGGCTTCATGTTTGTCATCTGATGCCTGGGTCAGACTGCAGAAAGTGTTGCATCTGTTGGATTCCAGGTGCAGTTGCTCCTTCTCTTCTGTTTGGGTGCCCTGTTAGCAGCTGGAAGGCAGGAGGGTTTCTCAAGAACTGTGTATAGAACAGAATGCAGCTGTTCCTCAGGGTGAAAGTTTCCTCACCTGTTGCTACTGATGCCCACAGCAGCAGCACTGCTGGTGTTAATGGGGCCAAACCGGTGCTCCTGGTCATACCAAGAATGCCAGAATTTGCAGCTAAGGTGAGTTTCCTGATGGGTGAGCAGAAGGGAAACCCTCCAGTCATGTTATTTCATCCTGTTGTCTGTCTGTGTCAGTGTTCCCCAGTCCGATGCATGCTGGTTTCTGAAGTGACCGGTCACTGACATGCGCCTGGGGCTGGACCTGGCAGAAGGGCTTGCTTTCTTTTGCCAGTCTTTGAAGTTTCCTCTCTTCTCTGCCAGCCCCGTACTGCCGTGCAGTGTGTCGCTGCGTCCTTGGTTGTGATTTCTGATTTCGTGATTGCAGCAAAGATTAGAGAGTGAAAGAAAGCTTCATTTCTAATCATTTAAAGCCTTATCCCCTAGGCAGGTCTGCCAGGGGACCAGAGGGGCCTTGTTAGCCTGTCCTGCCCTGTATGGGGAAGGAGCTACCTGGCTCACAGGTCCAGAGAGCTTGGTCACTACTGGCTTCCTCTCTTTGGCTTTTGTGACCCTCAAAAGAGYTCAGGGTTATGGAAGAGGGAAACCCTGCGTAAGTGTTTACTGTCTAGTGTCACRCTATACAGGCTTCTTTAATATTTGATTCAACACAAAGAAACACCAATGACTAAAAATACATGCCTTCTATTTTCCTCTTTGGTGCTATGTCATTAGATTGTGCATATAAGCAGAAACATTAACAGTCATAGTATGAGAGTATAAACAATTTTTTTTAACAAGCTCTAGGAATAGAAAAGAAGATTAAAAGATCTAAACTACTAGTGAATGTGGATAGAATAGTTTTCCTGGATAATCTTGTGTTATATTTTAATAATGAAGAAAAAAAAAGAGAGAAAAAGGAAGGCTTTAAAAATTGCACAAAATTGAAACAAATAATCTGTTGTGCAGTAACAATCGTGCTAAACAGAAAGAGAGCAGCTGTTACTGGAAGTTACAGTTAATTGTTGTGTTTTCCAGTGCAAGGTTGTTTGGTGGGAACAGTGGAAAAAATGCAAGCAATTGCCAAAAAATAAGTGTGTGAGGTGAAACTTGTGTTTGCTCTCATGAGAACTTTCTCACATTTGTAAGTAACTGAAAAAAACATGCTGAACTTAAATCTCCAGAGATGCATTGTGCTGTATAGAGAGAGCGCAGAGAACATGGCATTGGCTGGAGAAAGAGAGCAGAGCATCCAGAAGCAGGAGGGCTGCTAGGGAGGTAAGAGCCAGGAGGGGAAAGCAGCTCCCCCCACTTCAAACTTATTTTCTTTTTCRGTAAATCGGAGGCTCCTTATCTTCCTCTCTCCCTTCTGCCTGCTTAGAACAGCTTTGCATGTGTCTTTTAGACCAGGTGAGCAAAGTGTTCTCCCAGTTCAAATCTGTTATCTTCAGAGGAGCCAAAGATAGATAAATTAGCTGGGGACATTTKGTAAGCCTCGTGGGACAAATTCCAGTGCGCTGTAGGATGCCCTAAAAGCCATTGCTGAAGTGGGACTYGTGTGGAGCGTCCTGGCTGGTTGTGGCTGAGGTTTAGGCCTGCAGAAGAGCCAGGGCAAGAGGGATGGATGGAGGCCTGAGTAAGGGATGGACAATAGACAGAGGCCTGGGTGAGGGATGGACGGAGGCCTGGGTGAGGGATGGATGATGAACAGAGGCCCGGACGAGCGATGGACAGAGGCCAGACGAGGGCTGGCCTGGCCAGTGTTGTGTCTTGCAGCCCCGCCATGGCCCTTGCCTGTCACTGCTCGCGTCACCCACCGGGGCTGCCCTCTGGCAGTGCAGCTTGTTACTGCATTCTTGCAGCACAGGGCTATAAAAAGTTGTAGGTCGTAATAGGCAGCTATTTATTTCTTAATACATTTTCAGATGCCAGAGGGGAGGGTTTTTATAAGAATAAAAAGAGGTACTGGAATGTATTTATTAGGGATTTAATATATTTATTTTGAACTACAACTTGTTCATCCAAATCCACAGTAAAAACTACAAGAAAATACAGTTTCTACTCTACTGAGATCATGCTTTTCTAAACACCCTGCCTGTATTGCCTCCTAATGTGAGTAATTGCACTGGCTTCTAAGAAACAATATGCAGTAGCCAACCCTTAACCTCAGCAGCATCACTCTCCAAAATACTACACTACCAAGTTTAGCTTTAGAAAACAAACACGTTTTCCAAAAAGAGGATAAAAAAAGGTAAAATGTAAAACAAACCCAAATGAAAGTTGAACAATGCTCTAAAAAATTCTTTTTCACATTAATCAAGCCTGATTACTATTAATTCATTAACCAGAACATCTTACAACTGGAAAAGCTTTCTCTTGTTGCCAACTGTATTATATTAATTCAATATGAATGCGACCACTGAATATCAGTTGACATTAAACAACTGCATAGTTTATGCAAATTAAAAATACCCTTTTGTTTTGCACAAAACAGATCTTGATGTCTGCTGAAGCTTAAGGCAGGAGGGGATTATTATTGTTCCCATTGTATTTAGGAGATACCAGTCATGGCCCTGTAGTTAAGACTCATCTGAGTTTTATCCCTAAACCAGGAATTCCTTCTTATGGCTGTGAAGTGATAAATGAAGTGATATCTGAGGCTGAACTGCATAACACCTTCTCCCTGAAGGAAATTTTGGCTTCAGTGAAGTCAGAATTTACAAACATATTAAATGATTAATTGAAGTTTAAAAATAATGTTTTTAAGCAAATATAGAATTGACAACAGCTTGCTGAGAGCTTATTACAAATATGGCTGAGATATCCCACCTGTGTATCACTGCTTATGATTTTTATATTGATTATTTAAGACAAGTAGATAGGATTTCTATGGCAATCCAGTGAATAGGAATGTTGCAAAAAGGAGAGGGGAGATTTTATGCTGATTTACAGGCAGAACCTGTTGCAATCTGAAGGCCTTTGGGAAAATGTAGTGGAAGCACTTTAAACATCTCAGCCAATGCCTGAAGACCCACGAGCGTGGGCTCGTTGCTGCCGGTGCTGTATAAATACACTGTCCCTTTGTCAGCCCTCCCTGTATTCTGCTTTTCCCCAGGCTGTCCGTGGCATATTAAAATAATTGATAGTGAGGTCTATAAAGCCCAATGGCAATGCAAAGTTCTAGTACAATAAATGTTTCCACCATTTCTAACCATTTTGGGTAAAACCTGTTACATCTGGTTAACTGTCTCTCTGGCTATTTTTATTCCCTGCACAGACAGAAACTTTATGCCAAGTGGTGGCTTCACCACGTGCCTGCCAGAGCAGGGGGCCGTGCTCCAGCCCTGGGGCTGGCAGTCACCTTGTGGCAACACGATGCAGCCAAAYGTGCATGGTTATGGGTATTGCTTTTAACCTACAGCAGAGAGACAGTAAATCAAATTGACATTTTTCAAGGCTTTACATGAATACTGGGGAGCCTACAGTTCTGCAGGTTTTATGCAAGAGTGTAATTAAAATCAGAATTATGCTTGTAAAGGCTGCAGCATCCTCTGCCCACAGCCGCAGCATCCTGCGAGCCTGTACCTGCTGCCCTGCGCTTGCTGCGGCGCACGTGGGAGGGCGCCGAAGGCATGTGCAGACGGGACAGGATCCACATAAATGCCGAGGCAGACTCTGACCATGTTATTCTCTAAACCACTTCTGATGATGAGGTCAAGACCTCACTGAAGTGCACAGGCCTTGACTGGCCAAGGAAAGAGTTTCCTCCCTTCAGGAGAGCATTAGAAAACAGTATGGAATTCAAGGGAGCAGGACTGCAGAAATCCAGAGGGAGACCCTGCAATGAGTCCACTGAACTGATGCCGTGAGGTTTTGCCATGAAAATAGCTTGAGAGTATTACTGAATATAATGTCTATTTATTTATGATTGTCACCAACAATATATGTATGCATATGTATAAAAAATTAATTAACTGCATACATTCAATATACAGTGATTAGCCAAAAGTAATTTCACTTTTTAAAGTTGAAATTTGCCTATAATCCTGGAATAGCSTCATGTAGACGTTGAGGAAGTGGCATATATCCAGCCACTTCTGCTTAGTGCCAGAGAAGCCCTGCTTCAGACTCTGATGTGGAGCTGGTATTCCTCAGGGAATTCAGATCTGGACCTAGGTYTGAGACCTGCTTCTAATTTTAATTAGTGCTACCAAAATAAAAATTGTTCCCACAGAGCAGATGAAATTCTCCCTTGTGTAGATCAGCAGTACACGGCCTCTTAAAAGCTTATACAGCCACAGGCCTTTTGCTGACCTCGGCACAGCATAAGCCTCTAGTGCTGGCCCATCTCCACAGGAATGAATTTTATTCAGAAAGCACAGCAGGAGAGGTTTGGGTTAATATTCTGGGTTAGGGTTTTRATATTAGGTTACATAAAGGTCAAGTAAACAGTTTAAAAATAATTGAACATCATTGCTCTGAAGAACAAGGGAAGTACTACTTATTGTTGATCTCATAACAGAGTTTACCTTTTGCGATCATATTCTGAGTGACTAAATCTCATCACTGGCGAGTTATCTCCTCACTGCTCAGTCACTGGCTAGATAAATAGCTAGGAAGATAATTAAAGCTACTTCCATTGACATCTCGGCAATTCAGGCCTTTTTTAAGCATGAGCATTTAAAAATAATGGTTATAACAAGTAAAAGATCTCTCATACTTTAATTCAGCAGTGAACTAATTAACTACCTATGTATGCAGTTAGATAACATTATCTCATCCATTTTGAGTTAGTCTAAATCATGTTGCCTAATTATCTGTGTTGAACGACGGGTCAGCATACCATCTCACTGCAGTTTCATCCAGGTGACAACCTGATGTGATAGAACAATTTATTCACCCGAGAATAGTAACTTAATTCCAGTTTTGAATGTGGTCAGGCTGTTGTTTCATGAAAGAGGTTAGTTTTTAACTTGTTTCCTATATAAATTTGCTGCTATGAAAGGTATATTTCTAATTGAGAGATACATATTTTATAAAATGGTCCAAACAATCATTTGACTAAAAATAGTATGAAAGAACCAAGTTGTTCACTTTTCTAATCCATATTAGTAAGTTCATATTTATCACGTAAGTCGTTTTCTTCTCCTGGCTCAGTATCTGCATGATGAATTTCAATAAAAACTATGTAGGTAACAGCTCCAAGTACTCCCCCCAGCATAGGTGCCACTGTCGGGACCCACCACCAATTATTTCCAGCCCTGTAAGACAAAGAAATAAAAAATCATTATTTGCTACTTGAGTTATGACTTTACCTTTTATTTGCCAGCTAGCAAACCCTGGCATGGAGCACTTGTTATTCTGTGGCCCTTTCTAGTTGGTCTCACCTTTCTGTCAGTCTGCAGTGCCCTGCCTCTCCTGCCCGTGCTGCCTGTGAAATGGTTCAAAGTCACCATCACTGGGCACCCTCATCTAAGTGCTGTACTCACACCTTAGCAAACAAGAGCCCTTTACTGCATTGCTCTTTGGGAGCAGGAATAATTTCTCCATGCTGAAAAATGGGCTTCATTGACTTACAATGAAATGAACAGGGACATATTTATTGTACAGCAATCTTGTGATGCTATTGCCAGTTGCTTGTGAAGGGGTTTYCAAGAGTGATTAATGCAAATGTATGTTGCAAAAGTGGGTTTTCTCATCTGTATGGATATTTGCAGATTTAGGCCTGCAGTACTATATACTGCATTCCTCTTGACAAGTAGAAGAGTTCATACTTGATTTGTCTGTATTTGCCTTGGGAAAATGTTATAAACCGTTAAGTGGATGATGCTTGACTAGAGTGGTCTGGATTCAAATTTGATGATGTAGTGCCCTGTATGTGTTCTTAAAATAAGGGATCTTTCAGGAAGAGATAAGTGTTTTATACACCTAAAGCTCGATCTTTCTAATTGTGTCTAGTTAAAAAAGCCCACAGAAGAATATTGGCTCCCCTGAAAAGTTTACATTCATTTTGCACAATTACTAAATTTCATTTTAAATCAGTAGACTTATGCAGATTTTTTAAGAAACAAATCCACTATTAGGAGTTATAAAACCAATATATAACAGTTGCTCTCCCTTTCCTGGACATTTATATTCAGATATGCTAGTAAACTGCTGAGCATGGATGTCAGAGTACTGACTCTCACAACAGTGTTGGTGCATGCAGGTGTTTTGATTTGATAACATGCTGTATTAATTGAATATGTGAGTCTCCAGCAAAAACCTAGCCACCTCAATTTCATGCATATTGCAAATGAAGAAGTAACATCAGTTTTCCTCCCACAAATACAAAGGGCAAATTCATCTGAGAGAGGAACTTAAAAGGAAGCTATGGGGGGTTATGAAAAAATAGCAAAATAATCTTTACACTATATGGATAATTACTCAGCATTCAGTCAGACAGATTTATGCAGCAGTGAACTTCTGTTTAAGTTCCATCACAAGAACATAATATTGCTAACTTCACAGTGCCCTATTGGTGATAATTTTATTCCTTCCTTCACAATGCCTCTCTCTTTTTTTTTTAGGAGGGCTGGTTTGCCCTTGAGATTGTTTAGATTTTGCCAGGAGGATATAAAATAGCCCCTGATACTCTTCTGCTGAATTTAAAGATCTGTTGATTTGTCAGTCAGGTCTATTGGGCCCCGTAACTTCTAGAATGTGCCTGGACCAGGTTTTATTCTGTTAATCTGCACAGCAAAGCCTGTGCTGCCTGTTCGCATGCGTTCCCCTGAGTGTGGCACGTGAGGAGGGTGTTTCTGGGCAGGTTTCTCTCAGCTGGTTCCCTGACGTGACACGGGCTTTGCTGGCTCCTGCCTGACCTCCAAATCCCAGCCCCTGCTTGCGCAGCTGCTGCCAGCCACGCTTTGCACATTCCCTGCCGCGACGGGCAGCAAAAGCCATTGCAGAGAGTGATGCCAGAGCTGTAGTGAGATCAGGACAGGGCTGAGTTATGCTCCTTCCCTGGAACAGGRGCAAACACGCTTCGGGATGAGCCAGGCAGCTTTGTCGCCGTCCGCTGCCTTCTCTTGCCCTCAGCTTGTGGCTCTGCTGCCAAGGAGCAAGAAGGGGCCTGGCACTCTGGCCTTGTCACCATCACATGTTTTTCCTGGCCCACCGCTGAGGCCCTTGGTTCTGCTCTCTGCGTTCAGCGAACTGAAGCCAAGAGGCAAAGGGATGGCAGCCCCTCYCTTTGGGTTAAACTGCACACAGGGGCACTGCCAGGCATTCCAAGAACTCCAAAAAAGGCCAGGAAAATTCAGCTGCAGCTATAGCACATAAACTACGTGGGCTGGAAAGKGGCCTGTTACAGACTTCCAAATTAATTTTCCCACCTAGTCAACAGCTGCGAAATGCTGAGATTACYGTATAATTCAGGCATTTGGAAAGGCAGGCAGCATGGGGAGCTGCAGCCCTTCGGGAGGTTCACGCTACGCCTCAGAGCTACCTGGCTGCGCGAGCGCCTGCCCGCAGGACCAGGCGGCCCCGGCCAGCGGCGCGGCCGCGAGGTGTCAGCGTTACCGCGCAGCGGCCTTGAGGAGCCCCCGCGGCGGCCGGGCCTCGCCGCGGCCTCCGCCAGCCCCACGGGCCAGGGCCGTGTGGTGACCGGGGCGGCTGCCGCAGGTCCCGCTGTGCGCCGCCAGCACGCGCTGCTCTCTCGCCGCCGTGCTGCTCCTCGTCCTGCTTTGCCACGCTGCCTGATTGTCAGAGCCCCAGCGTGGCCTTTGTACCTGAGGCGCTGGCTGCTCTCTTGCTACAGCCCAGACTGTGTAAGACCAATTTTCCATATTGAGATATTATTATTAAGAGAGACCTCTGGTTATCTCCATGGTTACAGGACAAAACATTAGAAACCTTCACGTCTCAAAAGGCTGCAACTGTCTCTAATGATGGGGACAGCTGTCTTCAGCAAAGCCTTTGCCCAGCACCTGGAGGATCAGCTTGCAGTAGCTGACCACAGCATGGGCAGGGATATCTAGAGGGTGCTAGAGAGACAACCCCTCTTCCAACTGTAACAGGTAAACAACTTTACACAGGAGCCTTAACCAAAATTAATCTSATTGCAGTGGTTCAGGAAATCATGCTGTAGTCTGTCTCTCCCTGGGCAAGATTCCCAGGGAAACTGCCCCTTCAGGTGTCCTTGAGCAACAAGTAATAACGTCAGCTCTGAGTAAACCACTGCTCGGTTCTCTCCCAGGCCTCGGGGTGACTCCATGGGCTAGTTGTACAACTCCCCTCCAGCCAGCTGGCAGCTCCTACCTGAGAATGTGGTAAAATCAGATCTCGCAGGGCCTGCAAGCATAAAGAAGATGTAGAGGAGGGGATTTGCTCCTCTGATCTGATTATTTCTGTGGTTAAAGCAGTTGCTTAGGATGAGTGAGTTAAAAAGTCTCATCCTTCTGTATCTAATGAGATCTTACACATTTTGGGTACATAGAGCAAAATGGAGAAGATTCCTTCTGCAATGTATATATCCCTGAGTCTGCAGGGGGTTTATTCTGGTGGTGACCAGAAATCTCATATCTTTTTATGTTCTCACATTTAAGTGACTTAGTATAGGCTTTACAGGGGGTTTTATTTCTCCTCTGTGTATAAATCCTGAAACTAAATTAGGAAGGGCCATACAGAAATAGAGTTTTCCTGTAATTTTTAAAGGGTAGATGAATATGACATTGTCTTCTGAAAGGAGTGGAAATGCCAGTTATTCTGTGGCTAGACCATGGTTATAGAGTCAGGCTTCCAAAGTTTTAGGCAACATTATAGCCAACTTTGTAATACATGTGATATTGAAGCACATAACATAATTAATGCTATAGCAAACAACTATGATTAAATGGGTGTGAGGGAGAATCCTAAGTATGGGTTGTCACACTATGTACTGCTGTTTAAGCAACAGTGTGGTCTAACGGTGTGGTGGTCAGAGCGGAGCAGCAGGAACAGCTGGGAGATAACGGGGCCAGACCTCTGGGCTGGGCCTCACAGAAGTGGTGTTACAGCCCCGGCCTCGATCTGGGCTGCCATCTGACTTGCGGCCTGTTTCTTCTACTCCCTGTGCCTAGTTTCTTAGTTTGAACAGAAAACCTTTCCTACTGTTTTCTTCTGCGAAAGCACCAGGTTTGTGTAGATGGAAAGCATACTAAATAAATAGAGATTATTTGTACTTTAAAAAAGTAGTTAAAATGAAACCTATTAACTGGAGCTGTATAGCAGTCTATAGTACATCTGGGGATTCATACTAGTAAATAACTGGAAAAACAGTTTATATAAAAATAAACGAGAAGATCCACCTCCTGATGACAGATTAGTTTTACTTAGATATCCCAAAGTGGCTCTTACACTGGATATGTGTAAGCTGTGGATGTGATGTGCAGCTAATGAGCTGTGCATCAGGCCCGCCAAGAGAGAGTGTGCGTGCATACCTGTGTGCAGGGATTAGGAAGTGTGGTCTGAAATGTGGGAAAATGAAGGAAGCTTTCACTTGTTCCCTCACTCTCTCCAGTCAGGAAGTCAGGCTTTAGATGGTTGTAGATTTCTGCAATAACTCAGCAGTAGTAATAGACTGAATCAATCTGATGTGTCTGTGTTTTTTAGAGCACTCAATAAATATTCCCACCTAACTCCTTCACAATTTCTTTTCCTTTTCTTTTTTTGAAAGCTGCAGTATGAGAGAAGAAAGCACTTCTTCTATATTTTCAGTGACCTCTAAGAACCTCTAATATTTTGGGAAGGGTCTGCTTGAAACAGTGATTGATACTAGAGATAATGCGTGTTTGATTTGCCCTAGGAGCAGGAAATCCTTTTTAAAGCCTGCTTCCTATAGCACATCTGACTTAAAGTGCACAAATAGCTTTTCCTGGTATGTAAAGAATTACCCATATGTATATAAAGTATGAATTGGTACCATGTTGAATTAGGCTCTAACTTCCCTAGGAAGCCGTTTTAGCCAACGGCATTTCACTTCATATCCAGGCTTACTTACGTGAATACTTCCATTCCCCATCCTGCCACAGCTGTGAAGAGCCTAGGRCCTAGGTCCCTGGCTGGGTTCATGGCGCAGCCACTGTTCATTCCCAAGGAGCACGTAAGTACGATGATCAGGAGGCCTACTGCAATTGGCTCCAGGCCCTTTGGTACTGCTTTATTTTTCGTGTCAAATATAGCAAATATAGCCAGAAGAAGAACAGCTGTTGACATCACCTGGCCAATGCAAAGAAAAGAATGTTGAATAAATATGTGCAGACTCCTACTAATAATGAAAAGAGGGGCCATGGCATCTCCATGAACTGTGGTGGCTTATGTTGGTATTTACATTTATTGCACAGTTCAGAATAGCAAACTTTGGATCATGGTATTTCTCTAGTTCACAGTAATGAGAAGTTTTGAGAAAAGGACAAGAAATCTGCTGAGGATATAATAAAAGAAAAACCTGCAAGAGCCTGGTGTCAAAGAGGGCAGGACTCCAGTTAACCAGTGTGAGGTCTGGTGCTTTGTTTCCACACCTTTTCCTGAGAGCTTAACAATTTATTTGATATTTGGTAGTTCTGCTATGACAATTCAATCGGTTACATTGATATAAAGTTGTTTTACGTGGCTAGAACTTACCTGATAGATTATCAGAATGAATATTCCTGTCTTTATCCAGGTAGTGCGTATCACAAGGATAAGYATTAAAGTCTTTATCTTCAAAGATGAGCATCTGAAGAATCAGGAATACCTAAACTAAGTTTGTATGTGTAACTGTAATTTGACCTCTGTACTGTATATGCTGACAGAGTTATTGAGGGAAATATTCTTGGAATGATTTTCTGATGGAAGTTTTTTTCTGTGTAATTCAAATGCTTTGCAAATATTATCAATCTTATTAATAATTAACTAAAGAGAAAAATAGAAAAAATCAGCAGTGTCAGACATTCCATTTCCACACTGATCTTAAAGAAATTGTGTATTCACATGTATATGTGTTTTGGCTTATTTGAAATGACTTTTAAAAAACTTTATTATAACATACTTGTACAAAATGATCTATGGAAGGCAAAGCCTTATGATGGATCTAAAACAAAATCAGACCTGTTTTTCCTTAAAAAAAAAAATCAAAATGCATTTTTAAGCTGTATTTCACAGTTTTCAAGTGCTTTGTGTAAGGAATTCTTGTGCACCAACAAACCCTAGTTTTTCAGATCTTACTTATGCACTAGTTTTTTTCATATATGCCTGAAGAAGGCAGGTAACTAATCAGAAGTAAACAGGAAATATGAAACTTCATTTTTCACTGTTGGATAAGCACAAGTACAGAATAAATAATGGAAATAAGATGGAGATTTTTTTCAAGTTCGCTCGGTTACTGGAAGAATAACAAACATCACAAATTCATTTTCAAGGAAAAGGCTTATGATAGTGGAAAATTCAGCAGTGCAGTGTGCTAAACTGCCTGCTTAGGCACTATTTAAAGAATGATAGGTCTGCAAAGTGGTCTAGATTTTGATGTAAATGGATGTTACTCTGCTGAAGTTAATGGAGAAAGATTGCTTTATGCTGCCACGCATACAGCATTAAAAGTGTGTGAAGACTACAACAATTAACATGATGAATGTGGAGAGAACAACTTGAAATTGTCTTGCTTGCATAATATGATSAAAATGTAATCTCTGCATACAGCATTACATTTTCATTGCTATTACACATAGTGATATGTGACCAAAGTGGTAAGATTCATCATAGTTGTTAAATATATATGTATGTTTAATGCCCAGTTTTATAGTTTTCAGTATGTTTTTTTGTGCAATCTAGATAACAAGTGTACTTACCTGATCTGCAAATCCATTTATGAGGGTTAGATATGGAGCGGGGTATGTTGCAAAGATATGTGCCGTTGCATTAGGTCCTGTGACTTCAAGTTTCCCATTGCTATAATCCATGAAAGCATCTGTGGAAGACAGCCAGGTCTGGTTGTGCTCTCTATAAACACGAGTTCTTCAAGGACTAGAATATAGTTTATGGTGTGTGCACTCCCCATTCTCCACTGGAAATTATTGTTTTATCTGGGAGTATAGCTAAGAGCTTCAGGCCCTCCTGTCACATCTCTCCTGCTGTGCACTGAAGCACTTGTTCCACATATTACACCTTCCAAATGGGGCTTCCCCCATTCTTTGGTCCAAAATGAGTGCAAGGGAGCGTTGTGTGATCTTTAACCCATTTGCATTATTCCGTAAGAAGTTCTGTATTTGGCATTATGCCCTGAGAAACCCACAGCATCCTTACTATACTGTTGTAAAAATCCCTGAATTCCCAGCCACCAGGAATTATTGCTATTCCATTCGACAGTTATGCAATGACTTTTTCTTGGAATGAGCTCTCCTGAGAAGACTCCTCTTCTAAAGGAGTTTGAATTTTTTAACTCTTTGTCAACCTTACACCCAGCTATTATGCCAGTCACCAAAGATGGGAGGGGAGATACTAGCCACAAAACTTGGATTCTTATTAGTGTATTCAGAGTATATTATAATTAGTATAATAAGATTCTCTCTCAGAACAATTTGCTGCCTTGACAAGTCCTGAAATGTTAGAAATAGGAGGACTCTATGACCAAGCACTCAAGAATCTGCATGAACAGACAAGAAGAAATATTACACCTTTATTTCACTAGCAGATCCAGTGGTCAGGTGATTCATGTGAGTCTAGAATAGCTCTGTGTCTTCCTTGGAAGTCATGCTTGGAAGGTTAACCTCTCCTGAGGGCAAGAGGTAGYGAAGAGGTTGTATGTGTCCCTCAGTTTTTCTAGGTTCGCTTAAGGCTCAGACTCTTTTGTGCACAATGTCATATATTATGTTGACCTACTATGTCTGACTGCCAGTGAGTTTTCAGGGGACAGGACATTTTGGACTTGCTAGTAGGAAGATAAAGTACAGAAACGGTTTGGGAATTAATAAGAACAAGAGAATAGTGAAGTATTTGAGCAAAAATAAAGGATAAAAGAAAACATGATAGAAACATGAAAACAGAAAGGAAGCCCCTCACAGCTCCCAGGGCGAGTTGCAGTACAGGACGATCTTCTCCCTGACTTCATCCTAGTTGCCCTGGTAGAACAGGATTCTGGTACAATTTCAAGTGGGAAGGCCACTCTCTCTTCCAGTCCTAAGCCTAACTCTAATCTTAACCCCAGCCATAGCTGTTGCTGTGTGTGTGGAAGAAGACAGGAATTTTAACTCCCACTCTGTGAGGGGCTGCAGCCCTGTGCCAGCCCTGACTCTCACCCCATCCTGGAAGGATTCTTGTAGAATTACAGTTCAGAAGACCTGACTTCCAACCCTAACCGTGTGTCATGCTCACAACCATTTTTGGCAGAGCAGAGTGAATCCAACCCCTAGCTCCCTGTGTGTGTGTTGGCTGTGGCATGCTGACCACAGCCCTACCCCTAGCTGTCTAGCTTGAGACTCAGATGGAAACCCTGATCTCAAAACTCACAGTTCCTAAACTCTAACTCCAGCTCTAAGAAGCCATGAAAACAAACCAAAAATAGTTGCCACAGTTCCTAAAGGTTTTTATTTTTTTTTCTTAGTGTTGATTACTACTGCTATCAAGTAGCTAGTTTATTTATAGTAGGCATTTTTATTCCAATTTTTTCTGTACGACCATGAATCCCAGCATGAATGTGAACTGACAGAAGAGGGAAGCTTGGGATAACGTAGACTGGGGCAACAGAAGCAGAAGTTTGCAGCAAGTGCCTGAAGGAGCAGGTCTAGCTGAGAAGACTCATGAAGTGCAGGAGACTTGTGTATGTAAAGTCTGATTTACTGAGCTGTTCCTCATTGTGGCACGCCCTATAACAGAAATATGCCTCAGGCCTCGATTTTTTTTTTTTTTTTTTTTTTTTTTTTTTTTTTTTTTTTTTTTTTTTTTTTGCTTTTATTATGTGACCCTTCTGCCATTCTACCCAGAGTGCATTGCCCCTGAGAGCTGGCTCTATAGGGTGGTCTGCAGCTCAGTCAGGAGGGACTTGATCTCATATCCTGTAACCTCCAAGAACTACGTTGGCGATACTTGCCTACAGGCACTTGGATCAGGGCTTTCTAATGTTTCTAATTTGCTTGGAAGATGAATAGCCCTATATCCTGGCTATTAAGTAATTTAAAATCCTTACTGAGAAATACATGATCTCAGAGTATCTAATTTCCTATGAATAATTTTTCTGAATTTCAGAACATTTCCTGGAGTATTAGTTTTTCAGAAAACTTTTAGGATATTTGGGATGTTTGAACCTTTTCCCCTTCAAACTCTTTATATTTCTTCCTTTCTTCTTTATGACTTTAGGTTCACTTTTGCCATTAGCTGTGTGTGAAGAGAGTCCTCTGCTTGCCTGGCACTTGGTGAAAAATTGGGGCCTTAGAGGCTGCTTGACCTCTAGTTTGTCCTGTGAGCGTGTCTAAGGTGTACTCACCATAATAAATCCCAAAGACAGCCGCTGCTCCAACAAATGCTCCCAGGAATTGTGCTAATATGTAAATTGGTAATTTGGTCCATTTTAATCTTCCAGTCACGCACATGGCTAATGAAACTGCTGGGTTTATGTGACCACCTGAAAAATAAATCACAAAATAACAGTCATATGGATGACTCGGATACATGGGAATAGGTGGAGTATTTGTAAAAATGGGGGCACTTTTTAGCATGATTCTATGTGCATGGTTTTCTGGAGCTTATTTTGCAACTAAATGCTGAAGGCAATTAAATTGAAACAAAATGGATTAAATGTGAAATAAAAAAACACGAGAAAGAAAATATCCTCCAAGATCCATCTTCCCTCTTGGCATTTGCAGACTCTGCTATGTATCAGACTACAGTCTTACAGATCATAGATCTATGGATGACTTTACTGGAAAAAGTCTAAAATTGATCATTTGTGGTGGAAGAGTCCATTATTCTGCAAGAAGTCTCTGTCTTCAAAGGCTCTGGCTTTTAATTTGCTTTTCGGGGGTAAGTGGGGCACCAGGATACCACTTTAGCTTAGCAAACCTGTATTAAGACTGAGGCTTATTACTGACTTGTGCAAAATCTGGACTACCCTCAGGGAAAGATGTTTGTATTCCTGCAATCTTCAGACTGCACAGAAACTGTTTTCATAAACATAAAATAAAATAATGCTACGGTTGCCCAGCTTCATGCTGATTGCTGGTGATCTATTCCCAGATGAAATGCGGGAGGCAGCAGTGCATAGATCCTAATTACATTTTTTCATCAAGCTCTTAGACCCTCCAGGAAAGTCCTTGCTAGGGAAGCTGATGAAGTAGCTGTACCAAATCAGAGACTTTGCTTTCCTGTGGCATTTCCTTCCTATTTAGGAGTATTTAGTTGTTGTTACACCTAAATTTTGACAATTGTTCATTTGGAAACTGAATAATTCCAGCAGCACTGGAATTCATTTCATTATCAGAATCTAAAATGTATTTATTATTATGCCACTTGCTAGTGATTTGCCTCCACATCTTTTATTAACATAGAAAATGGTGTCGAAGGTTTTTGGAAAACTACTTTTTTTTTTTTTTTGCAAATATATAGTCACTCCCTAAGAAATACATATTTCTTGCCAAATTAATAGATGAAACAGTACTCCATAGTGAAAATAGAGTAAACCTAACTTTTGCAAGCACAGAGCAGATCCATTGCTTAGCATCCAAGTAAAATCGTATTTCAGCCTGAGTGGTTATTAGAAAAATGCATGGTCTTCGTATTTAATAACATAACTAAAGGAGGGTGACCTTTGTCTGTCAAAGGATAGCGATGGAGAAAGGGCCTCTATGTACAGTTTCAGTGTTTGCTTGCACTTCAGGTCACTGAGTCATCATCTTATGAAATCCAGGCACCTTTGATACATAATGAACTGACAAACACAGATAACATGCTGGATAAAACCTCCTTTGTATCATTTCCAAAACACTGACCTAGTAGCATCAGTCCTGAATTAATTTTGAATTCCTCTCTGTGTTTCAAGTTCTTCAGCACAGAGCAAATGGATGGGTGGCACCTTATTTAACAGCCTTTCACAGGAATTTTGATAGATTGTTGTCTTTTTTTCTCTACTCTGGCTGAAATGAATCATTTTCCTTTCTTTCAACACCTGTTAAAGTTTCCCACCTGTATGTAATACAGGGTGATCATGATGGCCAAGACAAGTCATAATAATACTTGAAATGTCTGATTAACATCATATCTGGAAAGGGAAAGTCTGGTTGAAGGCTCTCATCTTGATGTAGGGGAGTTAATACATCTTGCTTCTTGTGCCATTAGTACTATTCTGATKAAAAATTAAAATTGGCAGCTTTGGAAAATAGGTTGCCCGTTCATTTGTAGTTACGGCAGTCAAAATTGTGAGTTTCTCAAAAAGGTTACATTTGAAAAAGTGGTGCGAAATTGCCTAGGCATCGAAGAAAATGAGATGGARGAAAAATGAAAAAGGGAAATTTCCTAGATAAAAGAGCTGAGAGCCACTGAGTGTTCAGCCCATATATTTTATGCCACTATGGATTCAGAATTTCATATGGAGCTGATGTAAGATACTGTAGCAGTATTTAACAATGAGACTTTTGGATGCCAAAGAGCCATAGAATTTGCTAGCCATAGAATCTAGGGGGGCTATATAAGAAGTGGTATTCTAAAATGTCCACCAGTAATCAATTGCTGGATTGTCACTGAAATATCTGTTTSTCCTCTTCCACAGGAAAAATGCTCTGCATGCAGAATTCTTTGTCATGGGAAAAGCACAGGAAGCACAATCCTGCAACCTCTGTAACCACTCTGCCTTGCTGGAACTGAATTCTAATCTTCTGTGTAACAGAGGTGGATATCCCTTAAAGATGCAAATGTGGGAAAGGTTAGTGCCTTTCCAGGTTATTTTCGTGATACTGCTTTAGAAGATTTAACTGCCTGTATATAAATATGTATGTATACATTGCAGTTAAAGGTTGCTCAGATAATAAGAATATACTGCCAAATAAAATTTGCATGTCACTGCCAATAACAGGACTGCTTCTTTCATAGCAACTTGTTTTTTTCTAAAGTAAAGTTAGAAACATTATGTACATTATTTTTGTAAAAGAATTTTTTCTCTTTGTAAAAGGAAAGAAAAATAGTTGCAGTAATTTCTGCTAGAGTAGAATTATAGAGCAGAATTATAATTATAATTATAATGGCCCAGGTGTACCTAGAGCCCAGGTGAACATTATGAACTCTTTTTATGAATGGTCTGCTTTTTTTCTGTCTGTAAGCTGCTGCTTCAGAGAATAAGCAAACTGACTGTTCTTTAAAATTAGGGGCAGGGAGCGGACTGGCTATATTACYGTCTGTCGTAGGACATGGAGAGATGTCACTGAACCCTGCAATCCTGAACTCTGCAGGTTGGACACATGGTTACATCTTTCTACCCTCTGTCTAGCTGGTGACTGCTGCATTCTGGGAGCTTCCMCTGGTCACTTCCCTGGTGTGCTTCCTGTGCTGTCCAGGATCATTTCTATTCACAGAAATGTTTAAAGCAGCGCCATGAAGAATTCGGGTTTACAAGAACTGATTATCATAAAGCCCAGAGGTCTGCCAAGGGTTACATGCTGCAGTTCAGATCAGAATTTGGTGGAAGAATTTATTAAACACCAGAAAGAAAAGAAAACAAGAGGAACACAAAGGATGTAGTAGAGAAACTCAGATACAGATACCACAATAATGGTACTTGCTGTTGCTAGATAGATAATTGTTTATACCATGAAATGGAAGTAATTTAATAAGTTTTTTTCAAAAGTTTAACAAAGAATTATTCAATTATACAAGAAAAAAAGGTCACTTACCGGAAACGCCCCCAGACACATACACTGCCATGGCGACTGCCACCGCAAATCCAACAGACACTGTCATGGGCCCACCATGGGCACCTCGGCTGAGGACAGCCTGCCCCACGCACCCACATCCAAGTGCCTGTAGTTCAAAAGACGCAAGTAAAACCATGAGCATATACATGGAATGCTGTTAGTTAGTGTGTAACTCTTGTTGCTGTCCAGATATAGCTGAAAATGTTAAGTGTTGAAAAAAATGCAATGATTAGAAACTAGGGGCATATGTGCTGTTAATGCCTTTATTGCAGTAAACATTTGCTCTTCATTTTCCTTTCCCTATGACCAGGAAGAAAGTCTGCTAATGAGGACCTGGAGTATTAATATTTGTGTGGTAAATTGGAATCATACTCTAAACAGYAAGAAAGTATTTATGACACTTTCTTTTCTTGCTTTAGAAATCAGTGAAATGTGCTGCTCCTCATCTCTCCTTGTATTTGATGCACCTGGTTCTTGTTTGCTCTCTCCCCAGAAAGAGCTCTTCAGCTGCAGTGCTGATACAGTTCAGAATATGAAGCCTGCACAAGATCTCATAGCAACAAATCTCTGCATCTGAAAGTGGACAGAGAGTTAATACTGTGTGGTAAGTTACAAATTCCAGATTATTATTATTATTATAGACAAGTGAAATATTATTCAAACAATCATGAAAGGTTGATCAAAAAGCTTTTAATGACTAGTGCTGAAACCCTGGAAAGAGAAAACAGTAGAGACTGTAGTATGTGTTACCATTATGCTGACTTGGTATTGTATATTGTTCTATCAAAATACAAATTGCTAGACCTTAGTATCACTTATTTAAAATGGATGCCACAAAGGAGAGAGAAAATAGAATGATTCTGAATGATGTAGCAAGAATCAAGWCTTTGGACAAAAGAAGTGAAAATCTAAGAGTTACTTTGGTCTGAGGGAGAGAGAAGACAAGACAGGACAAATCCTGGAGAAATCRGACAAATATTTGTAGCTTCATAGTTCAAACAGATTAAAAAATAGTGGTTACTTATGCTCCTGAGGAATTTATTTTCCTTTTGCTGTCCTCAACTGGCTTTCTGCCAGTGCCAAGAACAGGGCATGTTCTGGGAAGGAGAGCGGCTTTGGCAGTGGGGCATGACTGAAGGTCCAGCTCAGACTAGCCTGGTGCTGTTCTGCGATGTGCTGGTAGTCAGGGAGTCTCAGGCTGCTTTAGTGGCTCTGCAGCTTGAAGAATTAAGTGGGAATACCTCCTTGCATTGGAGTATTCTCAGGCATGTCCTACTGAAGTCAGTAGGAAAGATTTTCAAAGGCACAACGGACTTTTAGTTTAAGATAGGCTAGCTGGCCCACTGCTGCTGGAAATCAATTCTGTCTTTGAAAATCTCTTTAAATTTCTGCCTAAGCTTTGTTGAATAAGGACCCAACACCCTACCAAAAGTTCTAAATAATAACTGTAGTCTAATTTTTTTCYTTCCTCTTTTCTTGCAAGTATAACATGATCTGAATCCTAACGTTCTGGAGCATGACTGAGTTTATCTCAAGCAACTTTAATCTCTTGTATTTTAATATGGATATTTTCTCTCCTCATCTTCATGATACATGGCAATCTGATCTTTTTTTTTCATAAAATCATTTTATCTTAGCCAATGCAGTTGCTTTTCTTAAGCTCTTCAATTCCATATTTTTGCATTATTATGCGTCACCAATGACTGTATTGTAGATGCCCTTAAAACTTTGCTTATTTGAATACTGAAGCGTAGTTCTTGGTGAAATACTTATTTTCAGCTGCCAGGCAATTCTATTCAGAGACTACGCAATGTAACAGGAAAACTTCTGCCTTAGAAATAGACTGTACCAAAAAAAGGTTTGACAAGTAAACCCTGCTAGAATAGGTTAAATTTAAACAGGAAAAATCATACTTTTGATGTCATTATTTTCCCAAGGGTTTTAACTAATGTAGAAATATGATAGAAAAACTCTCAGCAAAATTAGAGTCTTAACCAGCTTGGCAATGCAGACAAAGATTCTAGTATAAAAGTACCCTGAGACTCTGTGTCATATACCCAGGTGCAGTTCTTGCCTTACGGATATAATCATGCAAGCAAACAAAACACTATATGGTGCCAAAGTATTACAGAGGTCAGAATACATTACAGGTAGAGTTGTGTTAGGTGTAGTTTAGTGGATTGTATAATTGGAAGTCACAAGACAGCTACTCCAAGCAGCAGTCAGCTCACACAGAGAGGCATGGTGTGCTCTAACCTTCATTTTCCCAGATTCTCAAAGTTGGTACTCCTGAAATTATATGAAGCAAGATTTACTGAAAATCAAGGATGAGACATGGAGCAGGCTCAGCAGGCTGCTCTGGGTGCTGCATGCACTGGGGCAAGAGCAGATTGCCTTTACAGTTTGCATGTAGCTAGACCTGTAGGTGTGTAGCTAGACCTGCAGGTGTGCATGTGTGCTCTGAAATGGCATAGACACAATTTTGCAGATTCAAAAAAAGATGCCATATTTTCCTTTGAAAATATTGAACTTTTTCTTAATGATGGTGGGGGAAAAAAAGGAGAACAGGAGCAGCAAAGATGGATGTAGAGGAGGAWAAAGGATAACAACCACTTAAAAAATCATGGGAAGAGGTAAGTAATTACCAGAGGCGAGCTATTGCCTTCCTTTCCTGAACACTGTACCTAAGGAGTATTATACAGGAACAGTCATGTAGTTCTCTTGTGTTACACCTGCCAGTCATAAAGAAACATCCAATTCAAGGTGCTCTGTTCTGTGCTAACCAGTCTCAGAAGCTGAATCTGCAACCAGGCAGCACACAGGCCAATGTTGCTGAATGAGCGTCCYCTCCTGCACAGTGAATGAGCACGGGCACAGTCCGTGCCTGCCTGCTTGGCAGTGAGACAACTGCAAACTAAGCTTGCAAGTTTGGACCGGGCTATGGTGATATTTTCTCCACCTACTTTCTGTTTAAGAAAGGGTTGTGGTTTTTTGTTTTGGGGTTTTTTTTTTAATTTTTATTTCCTCATACATACTGAAGCTACCTCAACGTTAACTGGGAACTACCCTCTAATCATGAAATTGCGTGAGCAGCAGTTTAAAAACTTGTGAATCTCTGTTTGGCTGAGTTAAAACCAGCTACATAATTAAGCTGTAACTGAATTCTCTTATGTTTCTAGGTCAAGCGGAAGCACACAAATTTGATGGGAGTTCGATTTAGGATAGAATATAGTCAAATATCCTTACTTTATGCTTCCAGGTTTTCATCKTCTTAGTAATTAGTAATATGCTTAAATCTACAGAAGTAGCTTCAATGATGACTTTTTGTTCACAAAGTCATAAAATTACTGTCATAAATAACATGTAGTTTGTCTGGGGGTAGAATAGCTGTCTGCACATTCTCTGCCAGAAAAACTTGCTTCATGGACATTAGAGMCTTTTCTTTGTCTTGGGTAATAAGGCTAATGCTAGGAAAGGGAAACAAATGGCCTCCTATGAGCATAATGTGCTCATAATTCCTTGACAGGTTGCAGAACTTCATCTCTGTTCCTGTCATCTGAGAGACTAAAGATTTCTGTGCCTCCATCTGTGCTCTTTTTGGGATTTTTGTCGATTCGTGTAAGAGCATTCTTCAGTATAAATAGGATTTCCTGCAAGATTCAAGTCTAGAATTTTAGAGAGTCTATTTTTCTACATAACCTTTAAAGCCTTAGGAATCTTGAGACACATGACTTGTATAAAAAAGGCCCCTGCTTATCRAACAGATCTAGTGGCAGTGTGTGTTCATAACCATCCCCTTTTACTGTAACTCCAAATTTCCTTCTTTTTAGCCATGTGGAGACAATGAGTAGTGTTTTGGTACATTTTGTACATCACCAGCTGCCAAGCGCCATGTCCCTGAGGGCAGAGGATGGCTCTGCGGTCACTGAGCTGATGATGCTCTAGTGGAAGAAAGTAATTAAGCATGAAATATTTTCTAGAATAGAATCCAGAGCCAGAAGTTACCAAAAAAACCCGAAAACAACAACAACAACAAAAATATTTTAATTGCAAACTGAACACTTTAAATCCAGAAACATTAGAAAAACAGTTTCAGAATTTCTATTTTAGTGTTTCTTCAGGGCAGAGCCAGGCGCTTATGCAAATCCCTGAGGCTGCAGCGTTGTGCAAGGCCCTTCCGTTGGGGAGAGGGCAGCCCCAGCGCTTCCTCGCACACTCCCAGCCAGGGCCACSGCCTCCTTGTCCTGCTGGCCGCCGCTTGCCCGCTCCACTGCAGCTCTTGGGCTACAGTCGCTGGGCTACAGTGGCTTAGTGCGAGAATCCTGCTTTGCCGAAGTGTCCCCTTCTGCGGGGTGCATGCAGAGGGGTATTGCAGGGACACCTGCAGTGAGGGAGAGCTCGGCCTGTGACCGCTGAGGGAAACGGGGGCAGCCATGCTCAGCGCTGCTGGGTCAGCCCTCGCAAGCAGGGATGCCGAAGGAGAGCCCAAGCCCTTTGGGCCTCAGGGAAGCAGTTGCATTTGTCTTTCACTGCAGTGGGGTCTCTCCGAGCAAAACTGTGAAAACGTGGAACGTTTTATTTTGTGTTTCTCTTCAGCCTTGGGGTTTTGCTTTTCTCTGTGTGTGTGCCTTTTTTTTCTTTTTCTTTTTTTTTTCTTCTCCTCCACCCATTAACATTTCTAAATATGCTCAATTTGGGTGTTGTTTATAAAAGTTTTCAGATAAAATGCTGATTACTAAATTGATGGTGTCCTAGAAGTGTATAATTTGGGGTGTATTTCAGAACACGCTTTCTAATCTCATTATTTAYGAAGCAGCTCTGCTTAGGAATTTATTCATTGCATTTTATAATAAGGTGCTATATCATAGATTAGAAACTCTATACAGAGATATATTTTTGCTGTGCCTGTGTATTATCTGAGGCCATGGTCCAGGTTTGGCAAAGAGCAATCTGCATCTAATGTGCTGTTCTCAAATTTATCATCTCTAGTCAAATCAGAGAGTACTTCCAATTTTGAAGGTGAGCTAAAAGTACAGTCTAGTGGTCAAATAATTTTTAAATACTTTAAAACCACATGGCTCTTATTTCATCATTAATTACATATTG